ATATTATTTGCTTTAGTTTTGTTGATGTCTATTGTAATATTTCGACTGACTTGAATGGACTCAGATTTTCAGCTTCATGATGTACAACATCCTATTTCAACTTGAGTGCTTGTGTTTGCATCTCCAGGAGGAAGCTGTCCAGGGGAACTGAATAAAGAATTGACTATTCAGCTTGTTAGGTAGTTCTACGGCCTCAATGTCTCTCATGTCTCCCGAGGTAAATTATATCACTGGATATTGGTAGGAGCTTGGTCAATTCCTTTGACTTCAAGTCTGTCTGTAACAAAGGGAGCTTTAACCCTTGAGCTTGAAGGGGAAACAATGCTTAGTATTTTTATACCACAATGTCTGAACATTCAAATAAATCATCAGGCAAATAAGGGAGTATTCTGAAATGTAAAAACCAGCTCAGGGCATTTCTACTTCTCATAACAAAAACTCTGTAGTATTGGTCTGCCAGGGCAATAAATATGTCAATGTGCTGATTCACTTGATAAAGCACTAGTGGCTATTGCCTCTGGTTTCAGATTTGGTTCACAGGCAGTTAGACACTGATTTAACTGTACAACTCCCTATATCTGTTCCTTAATATTGCTCGCTAATCAGGAACATGGCATAGCCTGCAGAAGCAACACTTGAATCAGTTTGTAAAGTAATCTCTAGTTTTTTGTCAGCAGAAGGGAGAGTAAACGAGATTTTGTGTGGTTTTTTAATACATTGTCATTTTGGAATAGTTTATGTACTGCAGATATTTGTTTGGATTCTTGGATCAGGTGTCTCAGACAGGCTGCTTAAGCATGCATGGGACTGTGTAATAAGTAGATGTTGGGTTTTATTGATTGATTGATTGATTGATTGCATTTATATCCCCACCTTTTGTTGCAAGGAGCTCAAGGTGGCATGCAGAGTTTTCTCCTTCTTCATTTAATTGCCACAACAACCCTATGAGGTAGGTTAGGCTGAGAGGCAATGACTGGCTCCCAAGGTCACCCTGTGAGCTTCATAGGCAAGTGCGGATCTGAACCCCAGTCTACAAGGTCATAGTCCGACACTTTAAACACCAAACCACACTGGCTGAAGTTAAAATGCATGGTCTTGCAAAACACAGGAGTATCATTCGCAACAATACGGTTTACACATTGGATCTTGGAGTGTTTATGATTGCATATTCTGGTTATCTTGCTGTAGATTTGCTGTTGTTGCACAAGATTCTAATAACTGTAAACTCATCAGCTGCTCCTAAAGAGGTTCTGTATCTCTCTCTGAGCAGCATGCAGGCTAACCACTCAAGAGGATTGTGAAATAGTCATCAGGTACCATGCACCAAAGACAGAGCTGTCATATCAACTAATGTCATTTCCTGCACAGGACTTTTCAGAGCAGACAGTTCCCAGATTCACCTGTGAGCCGTATGTGACAGATTCAGAAGCTGCAAAGGGCTCTGTGCGGCGTGTCTCCCGTAGCCTCATGGAGAAGATCTGATCTGATGCAGCCACAGTGGCAGGGAGCGGCTTCCTGGTGGCTATTAGCTGAGCATGGCAGGCAAGAAATAATAAGAGCAGCTCCCACGTTCATGCAGCTTCCTTCTAGGAAGTGGTACCTGTTTGCATGGTCATGCTGAGTGAAAACATTTCTTCTTCCGCATGCTGATGTAGACATAGACTCACAGTTGGCAGGATTTTAAAGCATCTGAACTGGGCTCCTTGACCAGTGTACGTGTATGTGTGGACCAAGTACTTTAATTAAAGGACTGTTGACATTTTGCGTCAATATAGGTAAAGGTAAAGGGACCCCTGACCATTAGGTCCAGTCGTGACCGACTCTGGGGTTGCGATGCTCATCTCGCTTTATTGGCCGAGGGAACCGGCGTACAGCTTCCGGGTCATGTGGCCAGCATGACTAAGCCGCTTCTGGCAAACCAGAGCCATGCACAGAAACACCGTTTACATTCCCGCCGGAGCGGTACCTATTTATCTACTTGCACTTTGACGTGCTTTTGAACTGGTAGGTTGGTAGGAGCAGGGACCGAGCAATGGGAGCTCACCCCATCATGGGGATTCGAACCACCGACCTTCTGATCGGCAAGTCAATATATTTCCTTGTTAAAAAACTTGTGTCAATATATTTCCTTGCCATGAGGCAAGGTGAGGTGACCCCAGGTGGCAGGATTTACATGGGCAGCAAATCTGGTCTCCAATGAATGTTGACTTGGTTCCTGTGGAGATGCCTAGAGCATCATCTAGCCATGTCCTTTTATCACTTGCAACTGATTCATCAGCTGCATCAACAGGAGGAACTAGACTTTGCTACAGTCATTCATGCATTGGTTACATCCAGACTAGATTACTGTAACACACAGGATGTGGGTTTCCTTTAAATACAGTTTGAAAACTTCAGCTGCTGCCAAATGCAGCAGTCCAGTTGCTTGCCAGAGGCTAGGATTATCTGAACCCATTTCAGTCTGGGTTCAGACCCATGTTTGGCATTGAGGTGGTACCGGTCACCCTAATGGATGACGTCTGACAGGGGACAAGGAGGAGAGTGACCTTGTTTTGAGTGAGGGGGAGATATCAGTATGCTGATGACACCTACCTCTATTTCTTTTAGTCACCTGATGATATCTGGGCATTAGGACAGTGCCTGGATTTCATAATGGGCTGAATAAGTGACAAAAAGGTAATTAGAATCCTGATAAGGTGACAGTGCTGCAGACAGGTGTGTATGGGAACTTGGTGTATTGCCTGCTTTCTCCTTGAAAGAGTAGATACATAACTTGGGGATACTCCTGGATCCAGCATAGCCACTAGAGACTCAGACACAGTAGTGTGGACTGCCTTTTTTCTAGTATTCTCTGGCTAGGACCATTCCTGGCAGCGATAGTCTTGCCATAGCGACCCACACTCTCAATTGGAATACTCCTTCATGGATTACTGCCTTGTCATGGCAAAGGGGCTTGAATAACTCAGAGAAGCTATGAGCTATGCCCTGCAGGGCCACCCAAGACGAACAGGTCATAGTGGAGAGTTTTGACTAAATGTGATCCACCTGGAGCAGGAACCGGCAAGCCACTCCAGTACCCCTGCCAAGAAAACTTCATGGACAAAGACAACAGGCATATAAAAGTTATGACGCTGGAAGATGAGCCCCTCAGGTCGGAAGGTGTCCAGCATGCTACTGAGGAAGAGCGGAGGACAAGTACAAGTAGATTCAGAGCTGATGAAGCGGCTAGGCCAAAGCTGAAAGGTCGCTCAGTTGCGGATATGCCTGGAAGCGAAAGGAAAGTCCAATGCTGTAAAGAAAAATATTGCATACAAGATGGTTGGACAGTGTTCTGGAAGCTACCAACATGAGTTTGACCAAACTGCGGGAGGCAGTGGAAGACAGGAGTGCCTGGCGTGCTCTGGTCCATGGGGTCACAAAGAGTCGGACATGACTAAATAACTAAACAACAACAATAATTCGTTGTACATGGGGCTGCCCTTGAAGATGACTTCAATCGGGGCAAAATACAGGTGGCTGAATTTTTACTGGTTCAGTCAGATGGAATTTTATCATATGGGTTCTGAAAGAGTTACATCGACTGCTTGTTTGCTTCTGAGCCTAATTCATGGTTTTAAATGGGTTGTGGCCCAAATATCCAAAGGAACACCTCTTCCTATACCATCCTGCCCATGCCTTAAGACCTCTACAGGGGACTCCTCCATGCCCCCATGACAAGAGAAGTTCACTATGTCATGATGCCTACAAGACAGTCTTCTGTGCAGTGGCACTCTGTTTGTGGAATGTCATTCTCTTAGAAGTTTTCGTGGCACTGGAATTGTTACTGTGTCGGAGCTAGGTCAAGACTTGTTTGATTTTCCGCTTCCTTTATCTGTTTTGACAAAGTGTTTTATTGCTCTATAATTGATTGATGTCTTGTATTGTTTGTTTGAGCCTTACTCTGCCCTGGTATCTCTGTAGATGAAGGGTGAGTTATAAATACTTCCCCACAAATATATAACTAAGGGAATCAGCAAAGTTTGGGTCTCCCGATGTGTGCAAATGAAAGTGCTTTCCACAAAGGCAAAATCACAATTACACTAGTGGCCTGTGAATTCTTTGCTGTAAGGTTTTCTGCAGAAGTACTTAAAGCTGGCAATTTTATTAACTTCTATTGTTAGTTTACAGCATTGAATCCAAACTGACTTCTTAGATTTTTGCAATAGGAAAAAACCCTAATCTTGCTCAGTAATTATATACCACAGTTAATTAATCATATAATGTAATAAAGTGAGACCATTTTTTTTAAAAAAAGAGATGTGCCAAATGATCATGATAATTCTCAGTAATTATGTTTAATAAGATTGATTAAAAATGACTTTCGTTTGGATTTTAGGAATGCAATACATGTGAGGGAGATAATGTCTGACCCCTCACTAGTTCCATAATGATCCAGTCAACCTATGGGAGAAACCATACCCACTGGGTATCTAATCTGTTGCCCCCAAAGAGCTTTCTCCAGATTTGGGACACTATTCTAGCCACTGTGTCATTACTGCATGCATTGTGCACCCAAGGAGCCAGCCTAGTTATTTTTAATTGTTATTTATTAAATTTGTATACCACCCGCCATTCAGAGATCACAGTTAAGAACAATGAGGCACACTGAGTTGAGAGGAGGCACATGCTACCAGCTGATTTAGTTTCAGTTGTAGAATTTACCGTATTTTTCTCTCCATAAGGCGCACCTGACCATAAGGCGCACCTAGTTTTTAGAGGGAGGATTCAGAAAAAATATATTATTTAAAGGGGGCGCTTTATGTATGCATTCCAGGCTCTGCTCAGCGCTCCCTTTCACGAGCCACGTGGAGCGTGTGTGCGGCGCTTGCAGGTTTTTCCCCGAGGAGGGAGAAGGGCAGTCCGTCACTGATGGGCTGCCCTTCTCCCTCCTCGGGGAAAAGCCCCCAAGAGCCACACACACACACTCTGTGCGGCTCTTTAAAGGGAGCGCGGCTCTTGGGGGCTTTTGCGGGAGGTGGGGGAAAGGACAGAGCTGTGCTTGCAGCTGTGCTCTGTCCTTTCCCCCACCTCCCGCAAAAGCCAGGGATAACCCAGAGCTGCTCAGGCGCTTGTCGGGGCTGGCGGGTGAAGCCCGGGTTCCCCCTCAGCCCCAAAGAGCAGCTCGGGGAGCAGCGGACAGGCTGCGTGCAGCCTTCCCGCTGCTCCCAGAGCTTGTGGGGCTGGCAGGGGAAGCCCGGGTCCCCCCCCCCCAGCCCCAGGGACCACACATTCGCTCCATAAGACGCACAGACATTTCCCCTTAGTTTTTAAGAGGAAAGAAGTGTGTCTTGTGGAGCGAAAAATTGCTGCAAGATGTTTGGTGTATTCTGGTGGGCATATCTCTATTAGATAATACATAAGAGCAAAGGGAGTTTGAAATAGTATCATGTCTGTCAGTCTTGCAAATAATGAAAGGCCGATACTGCATTTCTTATTAGCCTACATGACCCCCTCAACACCTATGTTAGTTGTTTTGTGTCACAGTGTCAAGGTGAAAATAAATGCAAAATTATTTGCCCTGTTACTGGGAGGTGATTCTCACCCTTCACAGGTGACCAGGTAAGTAGTTACTATAGCAAGCCTGTTATGCTGACAATGTATTCTTAATAGGGAAGGGGGCATAACACAGCGATAGAGCACATTATTTTCACGACAAAGGCTTCAGTTTCAGGCCTTGGTATTTCCAATGTACAAGATCTTGGATAGCAGGATCTGAAAATACATTTGGCTTAAGACTTTGGGGAGGTTTTCCAGTGAGACAATATAGTTGCAATGCAACCATCGGTTCAGCAACACCCCACAATAGAAAGGACAATACTTATAAGAATGGTCAAAATAATAATAATAATAATAATAATAATATGTCTAGTAGCACCTTAGAGACCAACTAAGTATCTTCTGGGTATAAGCTGGGTATAAGCATATGCACACGAGAGCTTATACCCAGAACAAACTTAGTTGGTCTCTAAGGTGTTACTGGACATTTTTATTATTATTATTTCGAATGTGTCAGACCAATACAGCTACCTACCTGAATCTTATAAGAATGGTGTGTGAGATGTTAATAAACATTTTTAAATCAATGGATTCAGTTACTGGTATAAAGCTGATTGATTAATCTTAAGGCTTCAATTAAAACATTTAAGCCAAAATCCATGGCAACTTGTATCTTTAAATGAATTTATAAACTACGCTTAAGCTTATATTTCTTTTGGTCTTTTGACGTTAAAGGTGATTTTCTTTGAGGCGCGTGCAGAATAATAGCTATCAGAAGGATTTGTCTTGTTTGTCATGTTATTTAATCTTTATAATGGTATTGGTCACCTGGTATGAAAATCCTTGGTCCTCTTGTAAGATCATTACTCAGAAACAGACGTAGCTCTTTCTACCGGGTGCTGGCTTCTTGCTTTTCAGCTGTGAAGTCATTCAAAACATTTAGGTAGAAGATGGAATGGAAAGAAAACTCTTCCTGCTTCGGAAGCACCCTATTTTTCATTTTTTAAAAAAAATTCCATCTACCACAAGGATTGCGTGCGCGTAATATTCTCACTCTTGGTGTGGTAGACTACCTTGACTGTCCATCTTCCTTCTTTTTTTTTTGTACTTAATTTTCACATGTACCACTGCTTTAAAGAAAAGCTGCCACTATGCATAATCTTGTTGGAAGAGGACTCAATAAAATCAAGTTGGTAATACTAATTTTGTCACCTTAGGCTTTATTAGTGAATGTAATAGTCATTTTAAAAATCTTTGCAGCCATAAGTGTTTTATCTCTCTTACAGTCTCATATGCTGTGTTTAATCAGTGTCATTAAGGAAAGATAATTAAATTTAGCACCACTTACTTTTTTGAGTCTCAGCCCTCATTGATAGGTTTGGGGAAAAACCTGTATGCAAACACATCTTACAGAGAGAACCCACAATCTACACCAACTTTCTTTAGAAACAGTTACTGTATTTTTCGCTCTATAAGACGCACCAGACCACAAGACACACCTAGCTTTTGGAGGAGGAAAACAAGAAAAAAAATATTCTGAATCTCAGAAGCCAGAACAGCAAGAGGGATCGCTGCGCAGTGAAAGCAGCAATCCCTCTTGCTGTTCTGGCTTCTGGGATAGCTGTGCAGCCTGCATTCGCTCCATAAGATGCACACACATTCCCTCTTACTTTTTAGGAGGGAAAAAGTGAGCCTTATAGAGCAAAAAATACGGTACATACTGCAAAGTGCACCATCTGGTTTCGTGTTACATGCATGAACATTGGGCCAGCCAAAATTAGTTTACCCTTGCTTGCAGTAATTAATTGTAGCCTAAAAGAAGAAAAATAAATATTTTTATTTTTATTTGTTGATAAAGCTTTCCTGGCCTGTTGACTGGAGGCCATTCTCAACTTCTGTAGATGACCAGACAATTGGTTATAATCCTAACAACATTATTTTGATCAGTTGCATGTGCCCAAAGGAAATTTGTTCAGGGTTACATACACAATGAAATACTCTTCACCACTCCATGTGGTCACTGAATAATCTCATTAATTCACCAAGCTTGAAACTAGTTTCTGCCACAAAAGCCTTTCACTTAGTAGGGCTAGCATGTGGCACACCACTTCAAAGAGCTTTCTGCAGCAAAAACCTAGCACTCTATTAATAATATTTATGTTTCATTTTTATTATTTTCAATTACTCCATTAAAAGAAATAATATTCAATCACCTTAAATAATTACACAGTCATTTCTGTGCAGATCGTTTTCCTTGATCACATATTAGAAAAAGAATGTCTAATGAGCATGTCTAAAACCATTTACAGAAGTATGTGACTAAACACGCTTCTTACCAAATCAATCAACAGATTTCTTAAGATGGAGGCCTCTTGAGTATTTCGGGTTCGCTTGTCATAACTAAGATATCAGTCAAGCTTTCAATCTCTACAAATGTTTCTTAATTAACTTTTTATGCTTTAAGTAGAAGGGAAGTATATTAATCCAGAGCATTAGTGCTGGGTAAAACTGAAACTAACCCTATATCCATCAATTTCAGAATGTCTCCAGTAAGGCAACTGGGTTCATGGTTACGTATTAGTTCAGGTATGTATTTGTAACTTTGAGATGAAGTGTCCTCCTGCTGGACCAGACCAATGGCCCATCTAGCCTAGTATTTTGTTCTCAAAGTGCCAACAAGATGCCTATGGGAAGCCCAAAAGCAGAATCAGAGCACAACAGCATTCTCCCCACCTGCAGTGAGTGCCATGCTGAGATTTCCATTCCACCTTAAGGAGCAGACGTGTGGAACTGTTGCATGTCACATGTCTGTTTACATTCCAGCTCAGCTTGCTGGGAACTTTCGTTGTGCGTATTGCTTTTGTTTTTCCCCGGTCTCTCTGAGAAGATGAAGAGGGAGAGACGACATGTTTCTTTGTCCTGATTTATGATTAATAAATCTGTAGTTGTAGTATGCTTTCACAAGCCTCACACCTATTCTTTGGGCGCAGTTGATAGTGTGCCCTGGCTTTGAATCCCGGGTTGCTGATTTACGTCGAAGCAGAGGCCGATGGGTCTTCGCAGCGGACGGCTGGAAGGAGACGGCCCAGCTGGGGCTAGCCAGCTAGCCTTGCGGCCCTCTGCATATCGACATGCCACACCCCATAGTCACCTTTGACTGCACTTAACCGTCAAGGGGTCCTTTACTGGTCGAGAGCCAGTGTGGTGTACTGGTTAAGAGTGGTAGTCTCGTAATCTGGGGAACTGTGTTCGCGTCTCCGCTCCTCCACATGCAGTTGCTGGGTGACCTTGGGCCAGTCACACTTTTTTGAAGTCTCTCAGCCCCACTCACCTCACAAAGTGTTTGTTGTGGGGGAGGAAGGGAAAGGAGAATGTTAGCCGCTTTGAGACTCCTGAAGGGGAGTGAAAGGCGGGATATCAAATCCAAACTCTTCTTCTTCTACCTTTAGCTCTCAAAGTGTGCATGGTTAGAATCAGGGAGAGATGTGCCCTATCATCTGAGTAACTGGCAATCTGTTAGCGATTGCTGTGACTGGATGCAGAAGTAAGAGTTGCATACTATGCTGTGGCCATGCGAAGAGTTTCTTTTGGATTTCCATTGTCTTCTGTTGGCATCCGTCTGTCTTGGGAGACAATGGAAGAGTGTGCCTTCAGGGATGAAGTCAAACCGCTGGAGAGTTACTGCGCTTGCTGTGGCTGTATAAACCAATGCAGTACATATTTTGTTGCAGCTGTAGCAGGTGAAGGCGTCCGGTTGTTCTGCAGCAGGTGCAGCATGGCATTTATTCTCTCTATGATCCTCATTCCTCCTCTGGTCACTGCTGTGGATGCACAACTGTTTCCAGGCACTGCAGTCACCTGCAAGGGATTCCCACATGGGCGTGGGGGGAGGTTCAATGTAGGGTCACCAGACGTCCCTGGTTCCCAGGGACAGTTCCCGGATTTGCAAATCTGTCCCCAGACAAATTATGTCCCCAGAATGTCCCCAGATTTGCAGATATGTCCCCGGACAAATTCTGTCCCTGGAATGTCCCCAGATTTGCAAATCTGTCCCCGGAAAACGTGGTACCGGCAGCCTCAGCAGCCCGGAGCCAGCCTGGTAGCGCAATTGGCTCTGGCTGGCTTCAGGAGCTGCTCGCTGCTGTGGCGCCTGCCATTTTTCCTCGCTGGAAGTCCCCATATGATGTGTATTGTGCGCAACACATCACTTGGGGACTTCCGGAGAGGAAAAATGGAAGGCGCCACAGCAGCGGGCAGCAAGCAGCTCCTGAAGCCAGCCAGAGCCAACTGCGCTACCAGGCTGGCTCCGGGCTGCTCAGGCTGCCACTGCCGAAGGGGAACCGGGGACGTCAGGTGGTACAGATCTCCTACCCCCTTCCCTCTTCGTTTTGACTGATCGGGGGAGGCTTGGGAGTTGCGGGTGGCTGGCCATTGCCTAGTTTTTTAAAAACCTGCACATTTATGTTTCACAGGGTGCGAAAGAAGGGCTTTGCACCTTGCCTGGCAGAGAAACTGCGCACCTTGCACCCCTCCTGGGCAACAGCCGCCCACCTGTGACTCCTGAGCCTCCCCCAAACAAAGGGGGAAGGGGGCAGGAGAAAGGGGAAGGCTCAGGAGTCACGGGTGGGCAGTGCGCCATTGCCCAGTTTTCTTTTTAACCTCTGTGCATTTATGTTTCACAGGGTGCGAAAGAAGGGCTTTTCACCTTTATACAATATGCATGTGTGCTTGGGCCCAGGGTCTTTTCCTCACCATCCCCACTACTGACTCCCTGTTGCTACTCAGCTTCAAAAAATAAAAAATAAAAAAGTGTCCCCGGATTCATTGAAAAAAAAATCTGGTAAGCATAGTTTAACGTTGCCAGCCTTCATGTCTCGCAGACATCTTTGTAACACAAAGTTGGTCTGCCAACAGGCCTGGTGCCTGAAGCCAGCTCCCCGTAGAGCACATCCTTGGGGATCCTGCCATCTTCCATTCTGTTGACGTGACCAAGCCAGAATAGACGTCACAGAGACAGGAGTGTGAACATGCTAGGAATGTTGGCTTGGGAGAGCACATCTTTGTCTGAGACTCTGTCCTGCCATGTGATGCCCAAAATCTTCCCAAGGCATTGACTTCAGTGCTTCAATTCACATCACTTATTTTGTTCGCATAGTGATGAGGAGCAGGGTGAATTTAGGAGGCAGACTAAGCCTACTTCAATCACGGCAGACACCCAACACTACTCATTTTTGGCTTCTCTGCTGGTAAAGTTGTGTTGGCAGTAGAAATATGCTGGCATAATGTTCTTTTGGCATCACATGCCCAGTGGTAGTGGAGCTCCAAGATTTCCCCACACAGGAAGACTTGCATCGAATCCTAAATTCCTCCAGCCAGTACAATTGGAGTATAGGATTGTTCCTTAGAATTAATTATTGGTCATTCAAACCAAACATAACATGAAGATTTGGAGGACACAATACAGTTCTATATTCAG